CTTACCTTTCAGTCTGGTCGACGTAGACATCACTTACCTAATTCGTGGTTGTAGGCCGGCAGCTGTGCGATAGTCACTATGGTAGGAGCCGTAGGTGACGCAGGGGTGGTGGACACCCTGGAGGCACGGCTGGAGGACGCGACGGAGCAATACCCTAGGCGGTCGTCGAGGCTGGGCTCCGCACCATGTGGGCGACGGAGCACCCTTCTCGATCGGCTTCTCCTCGACCGGTGATCAACGAGGGCGGCGTCGACGTGGGCGTCAACACCGGTGATGGCCAAGTCGGCAGCAGTGCGGGAGGCACGTCAAGGCAGCGTGGTGTGATTCACGCCGATGAAGTTGGCGGCGTTCAGGTGCGAGGGATGCGGTCGTCGGCGGCTGCAGGCTCCTCGCAGGGTGACGTCGGAGGTCGACGAAGTGGAACTTCCCCGATGTCGGCGATGTCGCACGAAACAAGAAATTAAATGTGTTTCTGTTCCGATCGACAAGAAGTGTAGTTGACCAAGAAGACAGAGCCTTTTCGGTGCAGCAAGTAGCGAGGCTGCGAAGGAATGCACAGGACAGCTGGAGTCCACGGAAATGTAGACAGGTGGAGCAGTACCGAGTGAGCACCAAGGAAATGCAGGCGGACCACGTGTACAGTGATGGCAGCTGAAGTGGGGTTTCACGTGAATCAGGGAGAGTGGATGGGGTTGGCAAGAGCGATGGCAAGGGTAGAGAATGAGTGGCGGGGATCCTGCTTGTACATAGGTGGGCTGTTTGAACGGTTGCGATGCTGGAATGTCGGATGGTTTGTTTGTTGTGTGCGTGTGATGCTGGCGCATGTGTGTGCAGGTTTCTGCCTGACCCCTCGCCTACGGCAAGAAGTCAGCTGCCCGCCAAGACTCACCCTGTACATAGGATGCTGGCTTGCTCTAGACTCCTTGCTTGTTTGTATGTTTTCTCGTGTAGTGGAGTGCGTTTGTGCTATCTTCCTAGCAGAAGCCAGCCCGAATGGGAGGAACCGGTCGTTAGATTAGTGGATTTTTCGACATACAAACAAGGATGTGCGGTTAGATCGCCTGCAGTGAGACCGTATCTCGTGAATCACTGCCAAGAGCGTGGCCATGGACACGAGCGGAGCGCAGGGAGAACGGCGGGGAGAAGCGCCAGGCGCGCCAGAGGCCGGGAAAGTTTCGATCGGGACGGAGTCCGATCGCAGCGAGGTGTATCACCCGACGCCACGCAGGCGTAGCCAGGGGGATCTCCTGGGCACACAATCCAAGGAGTCACGCAAAACTCTCGGCGAAGGGGAGAACCGACGCCTGCAGCGAACCGGCTCAGTCGAGCGCCGAAGATGGACGGAGGACGATGAACTTCGGGGAGTCACTATGCGGACCGGAAGGTCAACCGGAGCTATGAAGCGTGAGGCCCTGGCGCAAGCGAACGAACGCTGGCGCTACACGAACTTACCGGAGATCAAGGTGCCGGAGAGATTGACAGGGCAGGCAGGCGTCGGGGCGGATTTACGCAACTATCTTATGCAGATAGATAACGTGCGCCATCGCTGGACCCGAGACGGCCTGGAAGCGGAGGAGTTCTTTCGCGGGCTCTCCAACACGTTGGCAGGAGAAGCCGAGTCGTACTACCGCATCACCAAGCCGGACCTACTGGTCAAGTACCGGTACATGGGGAGTGACGATTGGGCAATCGTCGAGGAATTTCTGGAGAATCTGAAACGGCAATTCCCGGTAAAGAGACGCCGGAAAAGATACGCGAGTTCGCTTTCTTCGAGCGAAAGGGGGAGGAATCACTGCTGGGATATTACGGGAGGCTTCGGGAGCTTGCGGTGGACCTGGAATGCACCGATGAGCGCCGGCTGATAGGGAAATTCCTGGGCGGCCTGGATCAAGGCATGGTGAAGGAACTCCGCAGCAAGGTGTTCGAGATGGGCCGGGAGGCCTCTATTCAGTAGGTTTACGAAGTGGCGTGCCGCTACGAGATGGGGCTGAAGCTGTACGAGCTGGAGCGAGCGGAAACGAGGGGAGGCGAGAGGCGACGAGGAGTATGGGTGGCCAACACGACACCAGAACGAGCGCGTCGAGAAGAGACGGCGGGCGGAGATCGCCGTAAATGTCATCGTTGCGGCCAACCGGGGCATATTCAACGTGACTGCGATCAAGCGCCGCGCTGCGATACCTGCGGGGAAGTGGGACACCTGCGGCGAGAGTGTCTGCGCGCGCCGGTCTGCAAGCACTGCGGAAAGAAAGGACATAAGGAAGCGGGCTGTTACTCGAAGCGACCACCCAAGGGGAGGAGTAAGACAAGGGGCGAGATCGAGGAAGAAATGCGGAAGCTGTGAGTACAGCTGGAGGACCTGGGGGAGGAAGAGAAGTCGGCCGAAGCATTCTACATCGGCGGGGAAGAAGACGAGGAAACCAGTAGTCAGGTCTCTTTTCAGCTGATGGCAAGGCCTGGGACGCAACGAGAGGCGGCGCGGCAACGGGGCGAAGGGGTTCTTCGAGCTGGCATTCCCGAGAACATGTGGGTGAAAGAGCAAAGGTGCGCGGAGGATCCGGACTTCGAAGATTCGGCGTACCGTCACCCCAAGGAGAGGATTGTATGCCAGTCCACGGTACTAGCGGCGGCCAAGGGGTCCATGGCTGTGGGTGGCATCTCAGTGGACCTTGCTATCATTGATACTGGAGCACATCACGTGCTCATCGGAAAGGGGCTCGCGAAGCAGATGAGGCTGCATGAGGACGGGCGCTTGCTGGAGCGAGGGTTCTCGGTGATGACGGCAGAAGGTGGGGAACCAAAGTGGCTCCCACGCACGCGGAACAGAGTGGAAATAGTGCTGAAGCCAGGGGAGAAGGATGAGTGCCGGATGAAGCTATTGTGCGGGGTAACTGAATCGGAAGACTACGACCTGCTCGTGGGCAAGAGGCTGTTATACGCAGTGGGCGCCACGATCTGCACATGGCAGGAGAAAGTGGTGTACCGCCCACAATTCTGGGACCCCAGGGGGCCGAGAGGGACACTGCCAGTCCGCTTCGTCTACCAAGAACCAAAAGCGGCCTACTAAGCTCGCATGGTGGATCTGGAGGACCAGTTTGGGGAGATGAGCTGGTACGAGGCAGAGGCGGAACTGCAAGTGCGACGACAGCGGGAAGTCTGGGCGGAAAGGAAGGCGGTAATCCCTGGAGAAGTACTGGACAAGCGCATCCTGCAGAAGCCGATCAGGATGCTGAAACTGTTCGGAGGGCTAGGCACCGGACTGGCCGCGGCGCTGAAGGCGGGATGGCGGATCGAGAAGTGGAGCTACGTGGAGGCCAACCCCAGATGGCACGGCACCACGTGGAAATGCTCAAGCGGACATACCCAAGGCAGATTCTGGACGGTGCTACGGAGGGAAATTGGGAGGACGCGGTGCACGACGTGCAGGAAATCGCCAAAGCGCAGGTGGCCAAGTGGGGAAGAGTGGATGTGCTCATCGCCGGTTGGGAGTGCCAAGGATTGTCGTGGGCGGGCCCGCGAGAAGGCATGGAGGACGAACGAACGGCGTTGTTCGAGCACGTGATCCGCATCATGAAGCTGGTGCACAAGAGGCACGGAGAGTACCTATACGTCCTGGAGAACCTGAACTTCGCGGCAGACTCACGAGAGAAGGTGCGGGCGGCGCACGAACGGGTAACCACCGTGCTGGGGGTAGGAGTAGCACTCGACGCTGCGCAGGCAGGATCGCGAGGACATCGCGACCGACGATACTGGCAGAATGGCATCTCGGAAGAACGGCTGAGGCTGGAGCTGTCCCGTCTGGAGAGACCGGCAGGACGGCTGGTCAGGGACATACTGGAGCCCAACCGGACAGAGGCGTCAGTTCTGTACCTGGATCACCCTGCGCAGTATCCCTGCAACGAGCCAGGAGAGCCGAGGCAGGCATGGCCAACCCTAGTGGCGCATTATGGGTTGCACGCGTTCCAAATGAAGGCAGGCGTGCCAGGACCAGGAATGGTGAAGGACCTAAGGACGAGGGAATGGGGAGAACCAACCGCGTTGGAGCGAGAGCTGGCCATGGGCTTCCTGCCGGGGGCAACGGCAGCACCAGGAATCAGAGAATGGGAACGATAGCGAGCCTTGGGGCAAGGAATGGACGTGCAGGCCATGGAGTGGCTGCTATATACCATAGAAGTGCAACTGCTGCTGTGGGACATGGACACCCGGGTGGAGGAGAAAGAATGGTGGGCAAAAGGAGATGAAGAGAACAGCGAAGCGCAACTGCAACTCAAGGCAGAAAAACGCAAGCTGGAGGCGCTGCTGGAGAGCGAGAGGCGATCAAGAAGGGAGGATGGCCTCCAGAGGAGAACCGCGAGGCAGAGCACAGCCGGATGGCAAAACGGGGCTGCGCGAAGTCTTATATGGTGCTGGAAGCGCTAGCTCGGGAGGTCCGTGCAGAGCAAGCTGCCGCAGGAGCCGGGCAGGAGGAAGAGGCGTGGACAATCGGGGTGGGGCTGACAGCGGAGCAAGCGGAACACATGCGAGAGACGCTAAAAAGGCACACGAAGGCCTTTGCCTACACGCTGAAGGAGCTGGGAAGGAGCAAAATCGGGGAAATGAAGATAGACCTCACGTCAGATACGCCGACCTTCCAACGGAAGCGGAGGATGACCAGAGCGGACTAGGAACTATGCAAGGAAAAGTGTAAGGAGCTGTTCGAGGCGGGACTGATACGGCGATCAACTTCCGAGTACGCAGCAGCAACGGTGATCGCCGCGCGCAAGGATGCAGCGGGAGAGGTCCTGTCCAGGCGCATGTGCGGGGATTATCGCGACCTGAACAAGATAACCAAGGCCAATCGATACCCCATGCCCACACCAGAGGACATATTTGATAGGCTGGTGGGAGCAGTGGTGTTCACCACCCTGGATCTGCGACAAGGCTTCAACCAGATCCAGATCAGGGAGGAGGACCGCGCCAAGACAGCATTTCATGGGGTGGACGGACTCTGGGAGTGGAACGGGATGCCGTTCGGGATGCGTAACTCCTCAGCCTTCTTTCAGCAAGTGATGGACACGGTGCTGAGGGATGTGGACTGCGCAGCCTGCTATATTGATGACGTGATCATCTTCAGCAAGGACCCCGAATCGCACGTGGCGGATGTAGAGAGGGTCCTGGGGGCAATCATGGAAGCGGGGCTGACATGCCACCCGGGCAAGTGCAAGTTCGGAGAAAGCACAGTAAAATACCTGGGGTTCGAGGTGTCGGACGGAACCCTGTCGGTCCAAGAAGCGAAAGTGGCAGTCCTCGACAAGGTGGCGGTGCCGACGGATCACAGCAGGCTGAGGGCAGTCTTGGGATTCCTGAACTATTACAGATAGTTCGTGCCCAACTTCACCAGGCGGGCCAGTGTACTGAACCGGCTGCTGAAGGAGAGCACCGTGTGGAAGTGGGGGGAGGAGGAAGATGCGGCCTTGAAAGACCTGCTAGGGGCAGTGAAGACGGGCCCGGTGCTCATGCTCCCAGAGAGGGACAAGCCGTTCGTGCTCTACACAGATTGGAGCAGCCTGGGCATGGGGGCGGTGCTGTGTCAAGAGACGTAGCGGGGAGAGAGAGTGGTGGCATTCGCCAGCAGGAGTTGCAGCCCCACGGAGGCGAACTACAGCTCTTACGAAGGCGAAGGACTGGCGGCAGTATGGGGAGTGGAACACTTTCGGGTGTACCTGCAAGGCAGCCCGTTCACCCTTGTGACCGACCACCGGCCTCTGACATGGTTAATGACGAACCAAACCCTGACGGGGAGGAACGCCAGGTGGGCGATGAGGCTGCAGAAAAATGAGTTCAAGATAAGGCACCGCCCGGGGAAGACTTTACAGCATGTAGACGGGCTGTCAAGGAACCCTCCCCCACCAGAAGGGTGCTCGCCGGCGACATGTCTCGTGGCGCTGGCCAGCGGAATGCGGGAGACCGAAGAGAGGAGGCACCGCGGGAAGGGGCCCGAGGACTTATGGGAAGATGCAGAGGTGCTGCGATGGGTGAAGGGAGAGACTGAAGCTGAGGACGTGGGAGACGTGGGAGAGAGAGCAAGAGCGCGGGGCAGGCATTACCGATGGTATCAGCAGCAGCTGCAGGTGGAGTCTAAGGAAGGCTGGAAGATGGTGCCCGCGCCAGACCTCCGAAAGGCTCTCATAGAAAAGGTGCATGCGGAGTTGGGACACTACGGCCATGTGAGGACTGCCCAGCTGCTGACCACAGGATGGTGGTGGGCCGGCATGCAGAGGGACGTAAAGAGAGTCGTGGTAGAGTGCGAGCTATGCAGCCGGAACAAGGCCACACTGGAAAGGGAGCAACAGGAGCTGCAATCACTCCCGATCCGCGGGTTGGGATACCGATGGTTGCTGGACCTGGCAGGAGAGTTGCCGCTGAGCCGCAGGAACAAGCGGTACGTGCTCGTCATGATCGAGCACGTCTCCAAGTGGGTGGAAGTGCGTGCGCTCAGCAGCAAGAGCGCGGAGCTGATCGCCGAGGCGTTTACCGATCAGGTGCTGACGCATTTCGGAGCATGCGGAGAGGTACTGAGCGACCAGGGGACAGAGTTCAGGGGAGCATTCGATCAGCTCCTAAAGCGAGTGGGGATCACGCACCGCCGGACCTCGAGGTATCACCCGCAGGCAGACGGGCTGACCGAGCGCATGGTGCAGACGATCAAGAAGGGGCTGCGAGCCTACGGAGAAGAGCACAAGAGGGATTGGGATCAAGAGTTGCACTGGGTCGCGGCTGGGTTCAGCAAGCAAGCAGCCCTGAGGGACTACTCGCCATACTACCTCTTGTATGGGAAAGAGCCTATGCTGCCTGTGAACACCCCAAAGGTGCTGACGGGGATCGTGAAGGCCGGAAGCCCTGAGAAATGGGCAGTGCTGGCAGATTGCCGAGCGAGGTACCTAAAGAAGATCATGCCAGCAGCACTCGAGAATCTGCACACGGCACAGCTGCGGGACGCGAAGAGGTACCAGCAGAGGCAACTGCAGACCGGAAAGGGAATCAGCAAGGGAGTAGAAAGCGGAACAGAGGTGTACATCCGCAAGGCCAAGAAGGACACCCTAGACGTGGGCCTCTCAGTGGAGCGATGGGTGGTGAAAGAGGTAAAGCCGTCCGGGGTGCTGGTGCTCGAGACCGAGGAGGGCAAACAGAGGGATGACCACATCACCAACGTGGCGCGCGCAGCAGGGAGCAAGATGCAAGGAGTTCCTAAGGACCAGCAGCAGGAGCCGAGCAGGTCGCGGAAGGGGGCAAGTGGGTAGACCAGCTGGAGAAACATGAACCTGAGCAAGTCGCACGGAAGAAGGAGAAGAAGTGCAAGCGGCAGGGGAATACAGAGTGAACGGGAGGGAGAGCAGCCGTCATCTCCAAAGCAAGGGAGGGAAGGGAGAAGGGGCCTATGGCATCTGACAGCTGTCACACGAAACAAGAAATTTAATGTGTTTCTGTTCCGATCGACAAGAAATGTAGTTGATCGAGAAGACAGAGCCTTATCGGTGCAGCAAGTAGCGAGGCTGCGAAGGAATGCACAGGACAGCTGGAGTCCACGGAAATGTAGACAGGTGGAGCAGTACCGAGTGAGCACCAAGGAAATGCAGGCGGACCGCGTGTACAGTGATGGCAGCTGAACTGGGGTTTCACGTGAATCAGGGAGAGTGGATGGGGTTGGCAAGAGCGATGGCAAGGATAGAGAATGAGTGGCAGGGGATCCTGCTTGTACATAGGTGGGCTGTTTGAACGGCTGCGATGCTGGAATGTCGGATGGTTTGCTTGTTGTGTGCGTGTGATGCTGGCGCATGTGTGTGCATGTTTCTGCCTGACCCCTCGCCTACAGCAAGAAGCCAGCTGCCCGCCAAGATTCACCCTGTACATAGGATGCTGGCTAACTCTAGGATCCTTGCTTTTTTGTATGTTTTCTCGTGTAGTGGAGTGCGTTTGTGCTATCTTCCTAGCAGAAGCCAGCCCGAATGGGAGGAACCGGTCGCTAGATCAGTAGATTTTTCGACATACAAACAAGGATGTGCGGTTAGATCGCCTGCAGTGAGACCGTATCTCGTGAATCACTGCCAAGAGCGTGGCCATGGACACGAGCGGAGCGCAGGGAGAACCGCGGGGAGAAGCGCCAGGCGCGCCAGAGGCCGGGAGAGTTTCGATCGGGACGGAGTCCGATCGCAGCGAGGTGTATCGCCCGCTGCCACGCAGGCGTAGCCAGGGGGATCTCCTGGGCGCACAATCTGAGAAGTCGCGCAAAGCTCTCGGCGAAGGGGAGAACCGACGCCTGCAGCGAACCGGCTCAGTCGAGCGCCGAAGATGGACGGAGGACGATGAACTTCGGGGAGTCACTATGCGGACCGCAAGGTCAACCGGAGCTATGAAGCGTGAGGCCCTGGCGCGAGCGAACGAACGCTGGCGATACACGAACTTACCGGAGATCAAGGTGCCGGAGAGATTCACAGGGCAGGGGTCATCCGTCCTCCCTCCCCTTCCCCTCCCCCTACGACCCCAGCCCCTCCCCTCGTGGCCGACCGGCACGGGCTGACTCCGGGGTCGGCCTCCGGCGATGAGGGGAGTAGTGGGGCGTCACCTTCGGCGCCGGCCAAGAGCATCGCCGGTGGCCGACGTGACGAGCAGCAAGTCGACGTGGATAGGGGAGGAGTAGGTCGGAGAGGTGCAGCCGACTTGGGTGAAGCCGCCGAAAAAGGTACCAGTAGGGCAACAGCCGACAGGGGAGCAGGCAGCGGTTAAGCCGACCACGGAGCAGTCGGAAAGGCAGACGACAGAGGAGCCCACCACAGGGGAGAAGTCGGCCGGTACGCCGACCAAGGTGCAGCAGGAAGACGAGGGCAGAGAGGCCGGTGAGGAGTCGGGCGCCGAGGAGTCCACCGACAGTGCCGTGGTGGAGGTCCAGGCTGGACCACGGCGTACAGGCCGACTTCGGAGGCCTCCCGACTTCTTCGTCCCGGCTGCCTTCACCACGGTGTATGACGTGGTCGACGAGGACGACGACCTGCTGTACGACGACGCCGACGAGGATGAAGACCTGCCGGAGCTCGACCCCGACATGCACGCCGACCCCGAGCACCGTTGGGACATCTCCACTATGTCAATGACGGAGGCATTGGCGAGTAGGAAGGGCGAGGCGGTGAAGGCTGCCATGGCGGAGGAGATCCGCAGCCTCATCAGCATGGGAACCTGGGAGCTGGTCGAGCGCCCACCCGGGGTGAACATTATGAAGAACCCGTGGGTGCTGACGGCGAAATACCGCATTGACGACACCGTCAAGCGCGAAAAGGCGAGGTTGGTCGTGAAGGGCTTCACTCGGGTGTATGGCACCGACTACGACGAGACGTACGCGCCGGTGAGCAGCTACGTCACACTGAGGATCTTCCTCAGCATCGTCGCCGTCCTCGACCTCAACTTGATGCAGCTCGACATGAGGAATGCCTTTCTGCAGAGCAAGCTCGACCGGGTGCTTTACATGTACCAGCCGGACTACTTCAACGACGGGTCCGGCCGGGTGTGCAAGCTGCTGAAGAGCCTCTACGGGCTAAAGCAGTCGCCGCTGCTGTGGTACAAGGCTCTCAACGACGTGCTGATCAGCGCTGGCTGGAAGAAGAGCCAGGTCGACGAGGCTCTCTACTTCAAGGTCGACGTCAACAAGGTGACCTGCTGGGTGCTGGTCTACGTCGACGACCTGCTCGCCGCTAGCAGCAGCACCGCGATGCTGAAGGAGCTGCTGGAGGCCGCCTTCGAACTGCGCGAGATCTCTCCGGTGCAAAAGTACCTCGGGCTGGAGATCGTGCGTGACAGGTCGGCGAGGAAGCTGTGGCTGCACCAGCAGGGCTACGCCGACAAGCTGCATAGGCGCTTCATCGACGAGGAGCAGACCGGGCGCACCCCGAAGACGCCAATTTCGGTCGACGCCTATGCCGAGCTCAACTACGACGACGAGGAGGCTCAAGAGCGCCAGGAGGAGGAGTATCGGTAGAAGGTCGGCTCGCTGCAGTTCGCGGCGACGACAACGAGGCCGGACATCGCCTTCGCCTGCAGCAAGCTGGGGAGCAGCCTCACGGTGAGGAGCGACCAGCACTGGCGCGAGGTTGACCGCTGCCTTGCCTACCTCGCCAACACGCGCGACACCGTCCTAGAGTCCGGCGGTGGACCTGAGTCGCTGAAGCTGGTCGGCTACGTGGACGCCGATGACGCCGGCGACAAGCAGAACCGGACGAGCACGGGTGGCTACGTGTTCGTCTACGGAGGGGCCGCGGTCTCCTGGTCAAGCCAGCGCATCAAGTGCGCGACGCTATCGTCGACCGAGTCGGAGTACGTGGCGGCCGTCGAAGCCGGCAAGGAGGCACGCCATTTTCGCTTCCTCCTCGCAGAGTTCCGGCAGCTGGACGCCGGGAAGCCGACTGTCCTCAGGGTGGACAACAAGTCGGCCATCACAGTCGCCGAGGGCATGGGGTTGACGGGCAACCTCAAGCACATGGAGCGGCGACAGGCTTGGCTGCAGCACATGGTGAAGCGGGGAAAGTTTTTCGCTGCAGTACATCCCGACCGCTGAGCAACCGGCCGACTTCCTGACAAAGGCGCTGCACTATCCGGCCTTCAACCGGTGCTCCGTCACCATCGGCCAAGTGCGTCTGGTCGACATGGGCGACGGCGACGATGACGTGCAGCAGTAGGTGCCATGCTCTCTTGCATGGCTGGTGCGGTGGACGACGTGCTGTGTGTTGGGTGCACGTCGACGAGCTTTTCTCCGAGAAGTACTGCCGTGTGGGCTGGGGGCCCAAGCGTGAACGCGGCAGGGGAGTGTCAACGGGAGTCGTTGTATGGCCCCGTCCTCGCTTGGGCGGAGCCGACTTCGTGGTCGGGTGTGAGGGGAGCAGCCGACCTACAGCAGTGGGCGAGCTGGTCGACGGGGCTGGTTGGTTGACCTGCACGGGTGCCACTGCAAGGGCGCTGAAATTGGAAGGGCGTCAACCTCGGGTGGTCGACTTGGGAAGTCGACCTGCGGAGGGCGTCGACTTGGTGACGCCAACTTGGGGCAGCCGACTTGGGTGGTCGGCTGACAGGACTGCTGGTCGACCTGGTGGTTGGTCGACCAGGCCTGCTGGTCGACTTGGTGGTTGGTCGACCAGGTGTGATGTCGACCTGGTGGTCGACCGAACACGGTGGACGACGAAGGAAGGGCCGACGTCGACCTCGACAGAGGGATTCAGGACGCCGAGCAGCTGGGCGTCGAGTAGCAGGGCGTCAACTTGGTGACGCCGACTTCGGGTAGCCGACTTTGGGGTCGGCTGACAACTGTGCTAGTCGACAAAAAGCTGGTTGACTAGGAGTGACGTCGACCTGGAGCTTGTCGACCAGGAGTAGTGGTCGACCTGATGAGGTCGACTGGAGGTGGCCGTCGACTTGGGAGGCCAACGGGCACATACAGGAGCAGCTGGTCGACATGGTTGCCCGGTCGACCAGGTTACCTGGGTGACGAGGTTCTGCGAAGGCACGCGACGGTCGCCCAGGCGATGTTGGTGAAGACGACCTCGGTGGTGGTATCCCGAGGTCGACGTGGCTGATCAGAAGCAGTCATCAGCACGAAGTTGACTTGGTGTGTGCGCTGTGCAGGTGACGAGGCACTGCACGCCAATCATCTGCGAGCACCTGCGAAGCGGGTGCGCTGCTGTCCTGCGGGAGCAACGTTGGCATGCCGTCAACCTGCGACGTTGGCACGTCGTCGACCTGCAGCATTGGCAAGCCGCGACTCTGCACTGCTGGAGCGCGGTCGACCGTGCTGCGCTGGCAGTAGACTTGCTTGCATGCTAGCTCTGATGTAGTCTAGTCTTGCCAACTTGATTGTACCATTGTTGTCAACCTTTCCTAGTGAAACTCTTGCCAATTCTCCTTGTGAACTAGCAGGTAGTGTGAGCACTTGGAAACGACTAAGGAACGAACGAACGCAGAGATCACACGAGCACCCGTGCCTAGCACGTAGTAGTTATCTTCGCAAAAAAACCCATACAAGTTATTCAGGTACCCGAGAAGTTGGGCAAACAACTCCGGAGCGTTGAAAAGGGCCGTATGTTCCGAGGAGTTAATATTCTCTCCCCACAGCACCGTGTTAAGGCTCCCCATTGCCCACAAGTGAAGCAAACATAGCTGCAAAGGCTTAGGGGAAGGTTCGAGGATCATGAAAAATTATTCAAGCCTCGCAAAAATCTTTCTAACCCTACCCAGGTGAAGTTTGAAGCTAAGAGTGCTGAGT